CGCGACTTGAAGACGCGTCCCAATAGCGGTTTCAGCAGGTTCTTGATGCGACGCGAGGGTGATACTTTGGATTTTTGCTGTATGGTGGACCAGTGTTGCAGGAGTGAAGTGTGTTGTAAGCTGCTCTGCTGCAGAAGTGTTTGATTTGTTGCGGCAATGTAACTGTTGTTATGTTTATTGCTGTTGTTGTTGCAGTCATATTGCATTGACATGTTGTTGATTGCTGCAGACATATTGTTTGTTGCTTGAGTTGTTGTTTTAATGTTAAAGATTTCACTTCAAAAAATCAGAATTTATATAATTTTGGGCTTCTTGCTTTCAGCTCTTGGCTACTTCTTTGCTTGCTTGGAAAGATATTGCTACTAGTTGTTGCCACATGCGTTGCTCAAACGTGAATGTCTGCTCTGCACGCTCTTGCACCGCTTCTTATAGTTTCTTTTCAACCACAGCCTTTTCTGAGGTGTAAGCAATGAGAGCGCCTGTGCGTATGCGCAGCATCTCAGCCAATCAGCGCGCCCGTACGAGCGGCAGGTGCGCGCCAAGAAAAATTCCCAAGCATCAAATAACACTGTACACGTAGCAGTTATGCTGGCGTTGCTGTTAGTGCAATGGGATACTTTAACAATCAGCGTCTCAGCGCACACGTGTGCTCTCACAAGGATCAGCAAATAAGAAAAATTAAGGATCGTTAGTGTTTTGTAAGATACCTGCAGGCAGGTCCTTTGCGAAAATACGTTGAGCACGAGCGTGAGAAACTTTTCGCATGCTTTGTTGTGTTGAGATAAACAGAAAAAAAAATATTTTTTTTATTTTGCTCAATTTTTGTTTTTCTATTTTTCTATTTTGTGCACCTCGTGCTGACCGTTGCAAACGTGTCCTACTTGCTGACACGCCAACGTATTTTACGTGACTTGCCACTATTATTATCCTGCTGCTGGGAAAAAGTGAGGCTGCTGCTCCTGCTGCCGTGCTTGATGATGAGTCAGTTGTGTCTTCTCAACCATGTTGAGGTTGTTTCGTAGCGTGGGAACGTCTTTTTCTCGCTATTAAATCAAATTGCNTTTGTTGTGTAAATTAATATCTCTACCATATGTTGCCGTTTAGCTGTTTTTACCCATCATGGCAGCACAAGTGTTTCTTCATGGCATTTTCGTTGTAGTTGTTGTTTATTTAATATTTATTTTAATTTCTGGTATATTTTGGTTTTGGCTGGAATTTTAGATGTTGCACTAACTCATTGGCGTACACTGGTAAAAAATGTATCAACTTTTCCGCGTTAGTGATCTTCGGCTCAGAACCCGATTTTCTTTTAACGAGGATTAAGTTTGAAGTATGGAATACCGAGTACAGGAACTAACGCTTCGAAAGTTTTATGAAGTCTCTGATTTACAAAAATTATTATTTTAATTCTCGAATTGCCATAGTATACATATTTATGTATATAAAAGGCCTGTAACGATTTCCAAATCCAAAAGTTTTAAGATTGTAATGAAATTATTTTCTGTAATACCCAATACCTATACCAGGGATTCCTAAGAAATTTAACTTACAAAACCACGCGACGAATATATTTTATACTTATCAATGAAAAAGTCCAAATCAAAGCTTTCTGTGATCATTTCGATCAATAATGATGTGTCTGTGAGCCTAAGAGAGTCAACTGATCTACGTGGTTAGTAAGTACTGCTCGTCGATTTAGCTTCGACTTCAATCTATCTATATTTAGCGTTATCCATTAGTTATTCATTATTATTGTAGGTTTCGTATTTTGATCATAATACTACAGTAATGAGTCAAGAAAGGCTAAAAAATCTCCTAGAAAAAGGACCTAACTTTCTGATCACAGTAGTACATTGACTTGATTGAACCTAATCATAATTTTTCATCTTCTGTTTTTCTTTTCTTTCATCTTTTAAGTGGTAACGCTTGGCCTAAACGCTTAGATTAGCTGTAGATTTCTGCCAACGAACCTAACCTTACTTTTCGTTCTTTGCACCTCTTTTACCTAACCCAACTTGATATTTTCTATAATAATTTTTAACAGAAACGTGTTTGAGATCAGTATGTCATCAGTATAATCTCTTATATTCTCCTCCCTTGCCTTTTTTATGAATATATGAAATTATTTACTTCTTATTTCTCTCAGTGTATTAGCATGCTGCCGGTCATATCAAATTGACCGTAAATCAGGCTAACCCATTAAGCCTCATTGCGATTTCTCATGCTCCTACTCTACCTACACATGTACAATAATACTGACTAGAAGGCAATATTGCAGAAATTTCACTGCTTATGTTTTTGTTGTATTGAAATTCACTTTTTCTACCAATTGTACGAGCATGCCTTCAAGAATGTCAAACCTGTTTCGAAATTAAGCGAAATTTATGAATGTGGCAAGTCAGAAAAAGGATTCGCTGCAAAGAAGCCTTGCAAAGTTAAAGGCATAGCAGGAGAGAAATCGCCGACAGGCACGTAAATGACATAAAAGTGAAGCGAGGCAAAAAAAACTCGAAACTAAAAATAAACAAAAACAAGTGAAACAACACGTAACTGAGAAAACAACACAAAAAATGGGTAGCAGAGCATTGAAAGCAAGAAATCAAAATAACAGGTTACGTATCGAGCGAGCACGTTCGAAAATAAAAGGGCAACGTGTGGGAAAGGGAGCCAGCATGCGCGGGGTTGAGCGTGATCTACACGGAACGCTCTTAACGATGTACAGTTTTTTGAAGCTGCGTTGCCCGAGAAGAAGCCCCAAATCATTTGCTTTTCTTAGTTTTTTTAAATAAAATTTTATTTCTTATTTTTGCGCTCTCTTTTTTACTTGTCACTAACAAATTAGGGGTTGAAAGCATAAATAACACACGATTTATGCTTGAACTACTTGTATAATTTTTTATGACACGCTAAAAGGGTTCACTTTGAATTTTTTGTGGATTTTTAACACATTTTGGCGTCGTCAGCCTTAATGAATTTAGGCGGAGTTTGAATAGTCTGAAGCGACTAATAACTGCTTTTCAACGCTTAATGTTCTATAATCTTGACTTTTGTCGATTTTGCTGTTGTAATATTTGCGATTTTAACAGGTTTATTATCCAATTATTGTTGTTGTTTTGATGTTGCGTCGGTGGATGCCCTTATACTCATTGCATTGTTTTGGATTAGGATCGACTAAACTAAATGTGATTTTACTCCTCCTGACTTTTCGTTGTTCTATAAGTGAGGCTTATATATCCATATTAATAAGATCAATTTCAAGGTTTTGAAGATTATCTCTTTCAAATATTGGCCGTGATGACTCTTTCGAGCATTTCGACTGATAACTGGCGAATGATATGCCTGATATTTTGCTCCAAGGCCTGAATCGAAGCGGGATTGTCCGCATAGACTTTAGACTTTACATATCCCCACAGGAAAAAGTCTAACGGTGTGATTTCACACGATTTTGGTGGTCAATTGACCGGCCCAAAACGTGAAATTATCTGCTCACTAAAGTGTTCTCTCAATAAATCCATTGATTGATGCGATGTGTGGGAAGTGGCCCCGTCTTGTCGAAACCAAGTCGCCGAGATCACGAGCTTCAATTTAATGCATCAAATAGTCGGTTTTCATGGCGCGATGACCGTCGCGATAACATTAGTTTTGAAGAAAAATTTGGCCGATAAATTCACCAGCCCACAAACCACACCAAACCGCTGTTTTTTTTGAATAAAATGCCAGCTCTTGAATCTTTTCAGGTTGTACTTCAATTAAAATGCCGAAATTTTGCTTGTTTGCATACCCATTAAGCCAGAAATGGGTATCACCGCTGAACAAAATTTGGCTCAAAAACGTCGGATCTCAAAAGCCCATAGAGCGAAGCGATGTCGCGCGGGAAGACCCAGCAGCTTCAGTTTTTGCACAGGTATATTTTGTAAGCTTTAAATTTAAGATCTCGACGTAAAATACGCCAAGTCGTTTCATACGTGAGTCTGAGTCTATTCGGTCGAATATTATCCAATAATGAATACTAAAAACATGTTGATTGAAACTAATGAACCTCTTCTTATGTGATATTCGTATGATGTGATTTTTTGGAAGTGACATTTAGTACGTATATAGTAATTATTTGTTGAAATGACGTAAGAATGATTGTTATGATTTATATTTTCTATATAAGCATTCGATGTTATGTCCGGTTCGAGTGCTTTGACATCAAGGGATGAATATTTATATTATTTTATCTTTTTTTGTTGTGATTTGATACGTTCCCAAGTGACTGGGTGTTAGAATATAATATGTATTCCTACATAAGATATAATTACTATGTATGTGAGGTCTTATATGATTATATATCTCATATGTCGTAATATCGTATGATTTTAGATGATGCATTATCATCCAAGTCTGGCAAAATATAACTATAGCAAGATAAGTAACACCATATAAAAAAAAATATAATTTAATATCAAATGACATCATGTGATGTTTCAGCGTATGATTAAACATCACTTTAATTTATATCATGTGCAGTAATATCGTAAAATGATTTCTCGATTATATGTATATGATATGAGTTCATAATAAAAGTAGTCCCTGTTTGAACATGAGAAAAACTAATGTTACAAATCATATGATTTCACTTTCTGAAAAATCCTTTTATACTATATCACTAAATAAGAATCATAAAGTTTCGTGACATTTCTAAAATCCTTGGTGTTTAAGTGCCATATTCTGTAGTATTAATTTGAACATTTTCTTTCGAAATCGTATGTTAAAAACCTTGTTTTTGTTTTAAGGTAAGATTAAGAAGTCAAAAAACATCTTAAGGTTCGATGTAGATAAATGCATACACAAATATGTATATATATCTACTACTATCTTTCCTTGGCGATAATAATGCAAAAATTCCATAATATGCAGGAAAATATATTGCTGTATGAAAGTCTCCATATCTTTGCAAATAATGATTATAATATAAACATTTCTAAGCAGCAAAATATATTTTAGGTATTATTTGTCCTAACCATATCAAATATGTGCATAGATATTCAATAGCAGCAAGTGATAAGCGTGTTGTGCTCAAGAGCCACGTACAGCGAAATGCAAAAGCAAATAATATGCCATATTTATTTTGTAAAACTCTCAAGTTACACAAACAAAGCAGCGTAGAAAATTACCCTTACGCTCATTGGTCCTTAAAACGATCGTTCCTTCAACAAGGGTTGTTCTACGCAGGCGCAAAGGTATAAATAGTCAGCGTGGCAAGGAGCAGAACATCATTCGTAGTCTTGCACACAAGCGAGCAACTTAACTCCAAAGTCAAACAGCAAGTTAAATTCTTTTCTAAAAACGTAAAACCGAAATCAACGCATCAATAAAAATGTCTTACGCTAAACTCGTGAACACTTGCAACGCCAGCACTTTGGCTGAGCAAAGCATCAACAAACCTAACTACACACCAGGCAAGGCGCTGAAGAAGGCATTCAAGTTACTAAAAAGCGTTTTCAAGTCAACAACAGTCAGCAAAGCAGATAACAACAACAACGTAAAGCAGCAAATCACAGACACAAAACCACAAGCGACAACTGATGTGCCTCAAGCAGTAACCGAGCAGCAGCAACAGACCCACGAAGACGAAGCATCCACACTCAACGTTAGCATACTAACCACTTGTTCAACACTCAGCGCAGAGGAGTCCGAGAACGAATTAAACGAGTTAGCTGAGTTGGCGACTATAAACCAATCGATCACTGATGAGTAAACCGCTGAAGTTGGTTACGACGCTGAACTGATATTCGTGGATGTTGCTGCATTCTTTTAGCAAGCCGCTGGTTCCTTCTAGGACCTGGTGCGTCCTTAAACCGCACCGCTTACAATTTCACAACGAACGCTTTATATTCTCGGAGCTTTAATAGTTTATGTATAGCCAAGCGTATATATGTATGTGTGTGATGCAGTCGAACTGCCAAGCTTTGTTCTCGATGTGCCCTCGCCCTTAATTGTTCTACATAACCACTAACACATATGTGTTTAACTCTTTGTGAGTGGATGTGTAGACTGGCTATTAACATAATATCGATGAACCACTGAAAGCTTTAATTGTATTTTATCATTTGTCTTCCAAATAGTTTTAAGTCAGTATAAGAGAACATGTATTTTTTCTGATAATTTTTTATAAACAATTTTTTTATAAAACTGAAATTTGTTGCTTGTTTCTTTGCTCTTTGGTATAATCTTCAGTTTTTACATCTTGTTGCAACGCCTTTAGAGGTTTTAGGTTAAATCAGTTACAATGAGAAAATTATATGAAAATTCGGGATGTCTGTCTTTGAGTTTTGATTTCAGATTATTTTCGCTATCCACTGACAGCAAATGTATGAAAACTTCTACTTAGCGTTTGCTTCAAATATACTTTTTTGTCGTAAAAATATATTTTTTTAAATAAGTATCGCATGTCCTTTCTAATACCATTTGAAAGACGTGTACAAAGTTCCACAATAAACGGTTAAGAGATTTCGGCTTGAAAGCGTTACAAACAAACTTTTGTACATTTACATTTATAATATAATATTAGTAGGGATAAGTTATTATATAGGAGGAATATAAAAGTCGGTGCCTTGTTCATGAATTGTATAAACAAATTTGTTGCTTACTATGAAGATTGTGGTTTATACTTAATCTTTCTAATGACGATCTTTACAATTTTGTTAACGATTTCTTTCAGTAACCCTGAAGAGAAACTTCTTTACTAATACTTGTGTTTCTCCATAGCCAAGTAGACTCATTTCAGTCTTCCAAAACTGACAAATTTCATATTTCATATTTCATACTTCGTACTTTTATGGGATAGTAGATAGAAATATAAACTCATTTCTAAACATAACGAATTGTCAGGACATATTGCCAAGTTGTTTAAACATAGTTGCTTTGAACTCATTTAACAAATTAAAAAACATATAACCTTCATGTTTCTTTACGTCTAATTTCAAATAATATAAGGTAAATATAAGGAAAGGTAAAAGGTAATTAAACTGTTACAAGGCGCTCTCAGCTGTACGGTTATAAAAATTAAGAATGTTATATACCAAAATATCTGTCCAATATATCCAAACAAAAATTCCATTTTAAAAATATTTTCCGAAATTTCTAACCTCAAAAATATTACTCAAAACAAACAATTCCATTTTATACAAAACTAAATATTATTATTTTCCTAAAATATTAAAAAAAAAATGGTACTTAAAAACTACTTGGAACAAAAAGTGATGCTTAAACTAATTATAAAAATTAAAATATGTATAATTCATCGTCAACACGCACGCAGAAAAATTATTGGCGCGATGGCGTCGACGATGGAGCTGTTTGGCAGTTCGACTGCATCACACACGTACATGAAAACTGTTAAAGCTCCCATCTCCCATCGTAATGTATGCGATGTGGTTTAAGGACGTACCAAGTCCTAGAAGGCACCCGCGGTTTGCCGGTAGGATGCGGAATATCAGTTAAACATCGTGGCGATTGTCGACAGATCACACGGCAGCGATCGATTTGACTCGACTCTTGGCACTGCTGCTTAGTTACCGTTGGCCTTGCTGCTGTGATCTACTGCCTTGTATTGTTGTTGTTATCTACCATACTAACCGTTCTGGACTTGAACATAATTTTTAATAAAAAGAAAGCCCTCTTTAGCGCATTGCCTGCTGTGTAGTTTGGTTTGTTGACGTTATGCTCAGCCCAAGTGCTGGTGTTGCAAGCGTTCATGATCGCGCCGTAAGACATATTTGTTGTGTTATTTTTGGTTGTGCGATTTCACAAAACTGTATAATTTCGCTGATGATAACGTTCTATTTAGCTCTATAGTTAAGTTATTCGCTCGATTGCAAGGATACGAATGACGTTCTGCTCCTTGCCACGCTGGCTACTTATACCTCTGCGCATGCGTAAAACAACCCCTCTGTTTTTGCATGAGTGTGCGGACTAATGCAGGCTCATATTTTTTCTATGCCTGCAAATATTTTATTGTTATTGCAGTTTTAGTACTGAGGTATTGTTTTGCATAACTTTTCTGGGTGTTTGCTGCACTTCGCTACGATCAAGGCTACAAACTTTCTCAATATATATAAACTAAAGCGAAAAACTCCAATGTTTACAAACTAAAAACCATACAAAATCATTTAAAAAATTTTAACCTAAAAAATATAATTCAAAACAGATTTCTTTTTATACAAAAATATATTTTATTATATCAGAAAAACATTTAAAAAATCGTACTTAAAAACTATTTGGAAGACAAATGATTCTTAAACTAAAAATAAAATTAAAGCTTTTTTACATCGTCGACATTTTCAAAAATGCCAGTCCACGGCGTGCTACGTTCAAAAAGAAACGATGCAACACGCACGCAGAACAATTAGGGGCGGGATGGTGTCGACGTTCTAGAGGGGCAGTTCGACTGCATCACACACGTACATATAAACTATTAAAGCTCTCCTATTGTAATCTAAGCGATGTGTTTTAAAGACGTACCAAGTCCTAGAAGGCACCAGCGGCTTGCCAGTAGGACGCTTTATGTAGAGCATCTCTGAATATCAATTACGTTATGCTGCGATCATTAGCGGATTACTCGATCGATTTGCTTTTTCCTGCCAACTCAGCTAACTCGTTCAGTTCATTCTCGTACTCCTCAGCGCTGAGTTTTGAGCAAGTGGTTAGGATGCTAGCTTTGAGTGTGGATGCTTCGTCTTCATAGCACTGCTGCTGCGGCTCTGTTACGGGTTGAGGCATCGCAGTTACTGTTTGCGGCTTTGTGTCTGTGATTTGCTGCTTTACGTTGTTGTTAGCATCTACCTTACTAATTGTTGTTGGTTTGAAGACGCGTTTCAATAACTTGAATGCCTTCTTCAGCGCCTTGCCTGGTGTGTAGTTAGGTTTGTTGATGGCTTGCTCGGCCAAAGTGCTGGCGTTGCAAGTGTTCACGAGTTTAGCGTAAGACATTTTTATTGTGGCGTAAGTTATTCGTTCAGTTGTAAGGCTACGAATGACATTCTGCTCCTTACCACGCTGGCTATTTATACCTTTGCGCATGCGTAAAACAACCCCTATATTTTTGAGTTGCAAGGAGCACAAGTGTGCGGACCAATGAGCGCGCGGGCTGTTTTTTTTATAGGTACATCAATTTAATTGTTATTGTCATTTGAGCACTAAGGTATTAGACTTTATATTTCTTTCGTATGAGTATATAAGACTTTTCAATCGTGCTATATACCTTGGTATATGATTGGCTGTACACACATACAAAGTGAATGTTGCTAATATTGTTTACAATTTTGTATCGAAGTCAAAGTCCTATTAAAATATAATATATGTGTAATATTAAATATTACCTGAAGAAAAATCTTTAGACAAATTTGCTTTTAGTATGACTGCGCCCAAAGTAGGTGAATTATTGTAGATCCCTGAAGAAATGAAAAAGTGCTTAAAGCATATTCATCAGTAGTTCAAAAGTTGTCAGAAAGTTGTCGTTAACTGAAAAACTTATCCAACTTACAAGGAAAAATGATATTATTTGAGGGGATCAAAAACAAAGTCATAGTCTGAAGCAGCGCTCATAAGTCGATCGCTTAAATACCGGTTTTATGAACTGAGTTCGCAAGACTTATAGATAAATATTTGTTATTAAATAATATAATAACCAATATACACTACATTGTCTAGAAAACTCAAGACAAAAACGTCCAACGTTTCAGAAGCACCGATTTTCAAAATGAATACATGAATACTACATGATCTCTCATACTACAGGATGGCTACTAAGAAACGATAAGTGTCTGATTACCCATGACAAAAATAATGTAATTTCTAAAGTTTCGTAAAAAAAAGGCAATAAATATTCTTAATGCCCATTTTTTCTTTAGTTATTTATTAACATTACAATAGTACAGGACAAATAAAAAAAGGTAAATTCCCTGAAAGCACTGAAGGTCCCCAGTGTCCAGCCAAGGCTTATGACAAGTGTATGGAAATTTGAATTTACAAAAACAAATTGACTATAAGTACCAACGCGAAAACAAAAAAAAAAATTCTCGAAACAAACTGAGCAAAGAAAAGTAAAAAATATTTCTTTTGTTGGCAAGACATTTTATTATTCCTCTTAAAAGTAAAAATCTAATTACTTAAAAGCTAAATGGAAGACATTCGATCAATTTTGAACTTAAACTAATTGGAAGACACATGATTAAAATTAAAAGTTTAAAATTAAAGCTGCACATCGCCAACGCTTACGCAGTAGGCCAGCCCACGCTTGGTTCACGCCCAATAGAGGATGAAACTCGCACGCAGGACGATTAAGGGCACAAAATTGCATCGACGATAATTTGCTGGCAGTTCAACTGCATCACAAACGCACAAACGCTTGGCAATGTATATTTATAAACTATTAAAGCTCCGTTAATATAAAGCGTTGAGGGGCAGGTGGCGCGGTTTAAGGACGAACCAGGTCCTTTAAGGCACTAGCGGCTTGCCAGTAGGATGTGTCCAACATCCATTTTAAACAATCTGACAGTATAGCGATTGCATTACCGTTACTCAGCGGTGATCGACTTGATGGCGGCCTCCAACTCGGCTAACTCATTCAGCTGATTCTCATACTCTTCGGCGCTGAGTGCGGAGCAATTGGTGCGCATGCTGAGGTCGGTTTTGCGACACAACTCCGATACTTTTGGCGACAATTCTTCGTCGATTTGCTTCTCGGTGGTGATGATTACCTTGCCCGAGGTAGAGGGGTGGAAGAAGCGACGCAGCAGTTTGTAAGCTTTCCGCAGTGCCTTACGTGGTGTATAGTGTGGCTTGGAGATGTTTTGCTCAGCCGCAGTGCAGGAGTTTACGAGTGTAGTATAAGACATTCTTAGTTTTTTAAAAATTTACGTATTTTTCAAGTGAAATAAAATTTGGTTTTAAAATCTCCAAATGGTCTCGGTTTTTCTACGCTTGTTTGCTGTGCTACGAATGATGTCCTGTCGCTCTCGACGCCGGCTTTTTATACTTTTGCGCATGCACAAAACAACCCCTATTTGCGCTATGAGCATAACGCATGCGCTGACCAATCGGCTGGCGTATTCACGCAGGTGCAACTTCTGCTCGACTTTGCTGGTGCTCTTTGCTATACCTGCGCTCTACCTGCAGTGGCATCTCCCAAACACTGCGTTGCGCAGAATTAGTGTATTTATTAAGGTGTCGCATCGTCGTACCTATTCCTGTTCTCTGCCGCATTTCTGTATCTGTGTTGTTTTCTTTGTTTATTTGATTTGATTTGGGGATTTTTGGAAAACTGTGCGATCCCTTGCACGTGTGCAAACGGTTTTTCCTGGTTGCTAGTGCTTGTGTGCGTCGCTCCCCCTCCGCGCTCTACCTGCCGTGTCAAAGAATAAATAATGCCCTTTAAATGCATATCCTTTTTTTGCCTAAGCGTAGGGCTATTTACTATGCTGATCGTGGGAAAGTAAAATAAATTTTTGGATTCCTTGCATTTTCATAAATCTTTTGTTTGATTGTTTGCTACACTATTTGTATTTCACTTGAAGGTAATTTGAGTTGCGTTTTTCTGCATTCTCATTCAAAGCAAGCAGGCAAATATGAAAATTAAAATACTGATCGCTGCCGATCGTCAGTGCAGATCGGCCATTTGATCGCTACTTTTGACAATGCTCGTGGTGGTATTCTCCGCTCAACGGCCGCTACATTTTGTTGTTGCTTGTTTTGAGCGAATCGTGCTTGCTCATCGAAGTGCATTGAATTGCTGGGAAAACTGCGTGCAGTGATCGTGGCATTGATCAAAAGTCCTATTAGAAAATACACCTATGAAAATTGTAGGCAGGACAAGTGTTATACCCTCGTTAAACATATGTTGCACTTTCTTATTTTGATTATTTTGGAGGTGATCTTTTTATATCCGAAATTGTATTTCATTGCTTGTCTGTATTGTGTGTATATATAGCTAGCTTGCCTGCGGTTCGGCGCACTGTTCGCTGCGTGGCAATTGTAGATATTATTGTGGCCTGAGTTGGTGTGGTGAATGCGCTGGAATTTAATTATGATTTTTTTTTACTTTGTAATCACAATTTCGAATTGCTTATGTATGTTAATGACTCATACATAGATTTGTAATATTTAAAAGAAAATCAAAAACTAATTTAAAATATGTGTTGTGGCTCATAACCTCAGTATAACGAAAGGTGGCGAAGGAAACTTTTTAAAGTAGAGGACGTGTTTGGGTACTTGGGGCTAACTGCAAGTGTCACTTAGTAACTGAGTAATCATGAGAATTTTCATGCTACACTTAACTCATACTACGACAGACTATTTAATGAAATTTTAAAGAAAATCGGAATGGACGATATTGTGTCTGAGCATTTAATTTATCGAAGTAAATTTAGGATCGATAAGACCAGGGAATATAGCAAGAGGTCAACCTCAGAAAGTTTCGACCGGAAGTACACTTATGTGTTGAAACCTTCTACCGAGCTGCTTCTGTAATGAGATAAATCTTTCCTAAGAGTGGAGGAAAACTGATCTCAAATGTAAATACTGATCCACAGGTTGTGATCGTCGAGAAGACAGTGTGGGTTTTTGATTGGTGGCATAAAAGCCTCATTATTCTTTGGAAATGTTATTGGAAAGGCCATAGCCATCAGATGTCAGTACTTTTGATACTCTATAAGCGATTTTTCATGTTTAAAAAGTGAAGATAGGGATTCTGGGTAGTAATCATAATACCAGAGCGTTCCAAATTGTCTTCTTTCAGCCACGCTTCTAACGCAAGCCAGCCGCATGTATGCCCTCACTACAGTAAATATATATCTACATATAGGCGTATGATGCTGAGAAGCCTGGGAAAATAATTTCAATCACACCTGGGCCAAGACGGCTACAAATGAATGAGATGAATGAATAAGTGTTGAATAAAAGAACAATTTGGTGACGAATTTATTTTTCTTCACTCTTACGAAATGTTGTGGCGGCCTATTTTTTCCCACACCACACACATTAGAAACCAAAAGATGTTTGGCTCACACTCAGCACTGTTGGTACAATTATTAATAGAATTTTCCCAGCAGTTGAGTGGTAGTGGCGTCAGAGCGGCAAACAAAAGAACGAATAACTGCTATGTATAATTCGTAGAGTTTGGCATAATTAAAAGAAAGTATAGTAACAAGTTGTTATACCACATTAAGAAAGTTTATTAGGATATGGACATACTTGTATAATATTTCTATAAACACTTATTTAAGTTTAGGTTAAGTGTTTTCTGAATAAAAATCATACCAACTGTTTTAAACTTTGTCCAATTTGTTTTAATGATTCATAAGGATTTGTAGTGTCTGTTAATCTAGCTGAAAGTTAGCATTTTATCATAGAAATTTTATAATTTGAACTCAAAATCAATACAGTTAAGCAATTTGAGCATTTCCAAACTCCAATTCCAAACTCCAAACACAAAAACTATTTTCCTTATCGTTTTTCATCAGCTACTAAAGTTTTTTTTATCTTTAGCTAGTCTCGTAAGTAGTTGCTTACACTCAATATCAATTCTGTTACTAGGTAAATAGAATCTTTAGGAAATAATTCAATACTCAATTCCTTGCAATATCGCACATATGTGCGGTATACTGTCACATATGGCCCCTAGCTGATAATACTACGTGGACATTAGTTGAACCTACTGATAACCTTTTATTTTCCTTATCATGCAATGAGTATGTTTTGAATTATCTTTTTTTGTAAGCATTTTTTGACGTAATCGGATTAGTTTAAAAAAATAAAAATAAAATAAAAAATTAAACTATTTTTAACTGACAAATTCTTATTGATAAGGATTGAATACCATATACAATATAAACCATGCAGACTGAAATCGTTTTTAAGAAGGAGTATAAGCATTTTTATTTTATGACACTACATGTTTGTTGTCACCAAATTTTAATAAACTGGTAATATTTCTTTCATTACAAAGCGTATTTTTGAAAAAGTAGTAATAATTCATGTTTTCGAACATCAGAGTACAGAATACAAAAATGAGTATAGTCAGCTCTTATCATCCATCTTATGAAGTAAATAATATGTCAAATTTGCAATTGCAG